ACTAATTATTTGAGTAATTTAGTCTAACTATTTAATTTATAAGTGCTTGATTTAAATAGCAAAAGCTTGTTTTCCCAAAAATATTTAGTATACGTTTACTTAAAACAGTATAAGCTAAACTTAAGCTGAATCACTTGAGAAAATTACAATCCTTATTACTAACCATTTTCATAAAGTATTGAATATCTAAATAAAACTATCAGTGCTTTCATTAAACATAATTGTATAAGCAAAACATACACTACACTTTACTCATAATTGTTAGAGAGAGAGAGAGAGAGAGAGAGAGAGTAATAATCATGAATATTCTAAAAGGTATTCTAACCTATTTGTTTTATAGGTGTTATCGAAAATAACTATATCATTAAATAAAAAATAATTCATTTTTGCTCTAGATACATTTAAATGATATACTACAATTCATTTGTTTTAGATATTTTTACTTCATACTGAAATTCATCATTTTAAGATTTTAGTTATTCTAATAAAATCTTTGGAATCAAATTCTTTTCTTGCTACTTCTTTCTGATAAATAAAATTATATAAATCATCATAAATTCAGGTTACAATATCTGAAAATTTTTTTAATATTGTATGAATTATAGTATATCATATTTAGCACTGTGAAAAAGAAGGATTCTTTGTTTAATCTCAGTTGGAATTGTTCATTCTTCAGACATAAATTGATAAGAACTTTTTTAAACTATATTTTAATTATATACCAAAGTCCATTACTTGCACAAATTATGAACTGTTAATTGCAATAATGTAAGCTCTTTTTCTTTTATTTAAAATATCTAAATTTTTATTAGAAGAGCCTTTTTTGTTGCAAATAACTGTTCTTTTGCGTATTTGACCTGTAGTTTTTTTCAAAGATTTTTCTAAATGAATTTGAAAACCTTTTTGTTTTGCATATGTTCTAATTATATTAACAAAAGTTTCATCAGAGAAGTAAATTTTACCCTCATTTAGTTTTTCTATGTTAAAAGTAAATATATTTTTAAAGGACTTGAAGATTCAGAAACTATTAAATTATTATTATTATATGTTTTGTCTTTTATTTTATTCAAGAAAATAAAAAGTGGCTATATAGAGACATAATGATAAATAATAACGTGAGTGATATATAATAATTGCAACACATTTTTCTAATTTTAAGTAGCAAATGGTGTTACATATAGTATTGATCATTTAGCATAATTTTCATATGAAATTTCACATCTTTTTTCTAAATTTTAATTTTTTGATAAACAATATGTGTAACTTTATTATACTTTTTTAAAATTTTTTTATACGATTGTTTGTTGAGTTTGTAACTATTAATTTATCAACTTAAAACTCGAATACCCTCATTAACTTTTCATGGATCTTACTTGAAAAACAGATAATTTTGCTTTTAAACTAATAATTCTTTCAAAATATTTTTTTTTTGTATTAAAAATAAATATAAACTGTTTTTTTTTAAAAAATAAAGTATTATTGAACAAATCATGTTCTTGAATAAATTTCAGCTTTATATTAACAAGTTAAAAGTTTGACACTTGCAAAAGAAAAGATATGATAAAGCTTATCATTTAAATTAAAAGTTTGAAAGGTTTTAATAAAAATTCTTAAAAAGTATGTCTATTAAAAATAATTTTTGCTTAATATATATTTTTTATATTTTATACTGAATATATTATAATACATTGAATTGATATTAAATGTTACCTTTTTTTACTTGGATTTTTGAAATTTCAATATATATTTTTTTTTTACTTGAATGATATGTAGAAAATATTTTAATTAGAATTTCTTTTTTTTTTAAATGTAAGAAATAATCAAATCTAATATTATCAAACAAACTATTTACTTAACTATATAAGGTATTCCACAAATCATAAAGTATGCCATCAACAAAAAAAAGTAAAAATCACATGTCATCTAGAATTATAATAAAAAAAAATACTTCAAAATTGGAAGATACCAAATTCTTCTACTAATGAAAAGTTTGAATAAATATTAGTATTTTTAAAATAACATTAGAATGTATGAAATAGAAAGAAAATTAAAGACTAAAAACTTTTATTAAAATAAAAATAAAAATTTTAAATTGATTTTTTGAATTTTACATAAAAACTATCTGAAAACCAACCTTTGTTACCTAAGAATTCTTTATCCTCTTGTAAATTTACATATATTTTTATTGTTGTAACTATGTATTTGTCATACTTTTAAAAGAACCATAAAAAATACCTTAATTTTAAAACGAAAGTTCGTGTATATGTCGAAAAAAAAAATTTATTAAAGCACGAAAAAATTGATAGAACCTGATAATACTGTATATTCGATATTCCGTTAAATTAGATCAACGGTTGTATAATGAAAAAAGTGAACAAAAATAAAATGAAGTGATACGAATATGGTTACACGAAGTTCATTTTAATATGAAAATGATTTTCATCCATAATGCGCTGCGATTGATAATAAATAATCATTGTTTAAGAATAATGTGATATAAAGTACACAATAGATCATGATCACGTGAAATTTGAGGTTGCATGTGTATTTCAAGAATATATTGATAAAGCATTTAATAAAGTTTTGTATATCGGGCTTTATTTTTAACTGCGCATTATTGTCGCACAATCCCCGGCACTACTATCCCCAGGATATAAACCAGCGTCGAGAACTGGTGGAGAACTTATGTGATGTGATACAAAATATAAACTTAACGAACCATAATTTCTTTATTACGCCCATTATACTAACTCTCAGATTTAATTCCTTGCAAAAACCGGTCGGCATGTTGTACTTCACTCAAATACTTAAACATTACACAGATTTAGTGTAGTAAGTTCGTTACTAAATGGCAGACATTGAAGAGATTATTGATTTATCCTTTCTTTTCATGAGAAGTATTCAGGTTTCCTTAAATAACTGCCCCATCAATAATAAATGAGATTTAACAATCTGCTATTGATGCCAGCTGTGAAAAATTCTAGTATAGAGATATGAAATGGAAAGATAGATATGATCTATAGATACTAGGACGAAAACATGAACTACAGATTTCTCAGACATAGTGGATAAAGCAACACAAGCAACACAAGCGGTCCCAAAGAGACCATCCAGATATTGATTTCTCGGATAAATAGAGCAGGCCAATGCATTATTAATTATTGCAATAAATATTTTGACAAGGCTTCGCACATAAATTTGCATGCCTTACTGGGGATTTCTTGGCATTTTTTTCCTAGGAATAGCTGGCCCACAAATTTTTTTGATAAAAACCTCTTAGCAAAACTCTTAATGGAATACCCAAACTTCTGGGACATTATGACATTCCTGGAATATCTGGAATATTTTTTTCCGGGAATTTTCTTCTAGTGATATGGAGATATATTAGTAATCTAATTGTTCTATTAGTTGGTTTCTGTTTAGTTTAATTTTAAGTTGTGTTAGTATTTATTTAGACATTTTGTAGATCAATGGCCTAATCTACCGGCCAATATGTCTCCTGGCCAATATGCCATCCGGCCATCATGTTTCGAATACAAAAAGGCCTCCGAACAATTGGTCCTTGTTGAATTTTAAGTATAAAAAAAGTGGGATTTCGCTTGAGTAGAAAGTGTGTGTTCCCTATGTTCCCTAGATAATAACAATAGATATAGTGGTTATCATATATCCCCTTTCCCTTTTATTTGTAACGAAACGAAAGTATATGATAAATTACGTATCTGATCGTATAGAGCGCTGACGATTGAAGCGATGCCTTATTTACGTAGATTTATGTTAGATTTCAATTGTTATAAATAAAAACATTAAATAAAGAAACCTTCTGCTTACCTTTTTTCTTCTGTTTATAACCTATAAACGTCTCAAATTGCGTGTAACGCTAGCTAGGTGTATATTACTTCATTATGTTTACCGTTATGGATAAACAAATAGAAAACTTCCCGCGAAATAAGTATTCCCACCTAAGTTGCGCAATATCTTGTCCTCCAGTATATTTTTTTCGCCGGCACTTTTTCACACTGCGATAGTTGTGACTATGCTGTGGTCCCTTTGGGACACTTTGGAAGAAATAATTTAACGTTATGTTTATCTATATATCAGTATTTTTTTATAATAAACTTAAAAACCCATCGGGTAATGCCGAGAATACAAAGAGGCCTAGAGATTCAAATGGAGAAAATACAAATAAAATGTTATACCAAATGAAGATAATCATAAACCTGTAAATTGGATATTTCAAATTTGAAATAAACGAAGAGATTGATGCAAGGATTTTATTCTTAAACTATTTAAGTTAAATAAAGTTTAAAATAAATTTTAAATTGTTATTTTAAAATGAAATTATAATTAAATAAATTCAAATAATATAAATAAATCAATACAATAATTATAAAATTAAATTATAATTTATCAATATTCAAAAAAAATAAACCTTAATTCAAAAATTAAAATTTAAAAAATTAATTGTCAGATTTAATAATAAGCTTTTACTAATCTACTTCTTTACGCTTTTTAAACTAACAAGTTTAATTTTTAGTTAATTTCTTAAAAGTTGCTTCGCAATATACTTTTAAGTATTGAGTTTAATTCATATCTTTTATTCACTTTCATATTATAATATTATAATTAATTTTTATTTAATCTTGAGTAAATCCGGTTTTTTTTTTACTAACTTTAGTCAGATGCCGTTGTTGATTGACCGCTTCGGAATGCAGTCCTTTAATTGTTCGTTTTCTTTTCAGTAAGTTTACTTCAGAGTTAATTAGAGAATATGAACTTAAAATAATGTTTATTAAAATTATTATATTTAACTGATAGAGTCCAATTCGTGTAAATATTTATTGTAAATAATGAATAATATATAATGAATAATTATTAATAAATGAAAATAATAATAATTTATATATGAATGATTAAAAAATTTGTTTCACAGATCCCACAAATAAACAAATAAACTTTAAGCAAAAATATTATTACTGGATTACTAATTCAACATTTTTTTTCTAAATATAATTTATAAATTTATATTCGACAGGCAAATGTTCTTTAAATGTTACAGCATTTGCAATATCGTTAGCAGTTTTAACTTGCTTTTCTAAAATTATTTGGAATATTATAACGATATTAATTTAAGCAATATAGAATCATGTTTGTTATAAAAGTTATATAATAATAAAACGTTTACTTACGATTAACTTGAGTATTAGTTGCTGATTCTTCTATATTACGTTTCTTGAATTTGCAGCTGAAATTGTTGTATTTGACGAGCTACTAGGGTACACTGCATTTGGATGATGTAAACTTACATTTATTGTTGGTGGACTAAAATATTATTAAAGCAAAAGAAATTCAATATTTTACGTATTTCTACTTAAAAATTTTCACAATATTTAAAATAAAATTACGATACCTTGGAAACACATCAAATTCATATTCTTTAGAAACATATTTTGAAGAAACTGCAAGTACAAAAATAATAAATTAATAAATTAGAAATGTATTCATAAATAAGCCAAATATTTAACTTACTATGCGCATTTAATGGTTTACCAGAATAAACTATATCCAGATGTTGGGTATTGGATGACTGGACAATAATCATATCCTTTGAACTGAATATATAAAATTCAGAATGTCGTTATAAAACATTAACACATTTATAGTTATTAATTTTTAAAGAATAATTTAATTTAGTCCATCCGACGACCTCATTTCATAATAAAGTACAGTACCTATGTGTATGTATGTCAAATTCGTATTCTTTAGAAGTATATCCTAGCAAAGCGGAATTAAATTAATACAAAATATTTATGAAATTTAGTTTACATTAAAGTACTATTATAGATACCTATTTTGTTATTTAATGAATATATAGATGAATTTATTGATATGGGACTAGAAATTAAAGAACTTAATGCTCTACTCGTATAAATCGCTTTTGGATGTGTTTCATGAAATTTAGGACCAAGCTTCTTTAATTTAATTAATTCTAATCGTTTTTTTTCAGCAAGTCCAAATGTAAAATTCGGATTTAGCATAACCATATACCAACCATTAACAGCTAAACGAATTTCCTTTATAACGGGTCTTTTTGCAGGATCTGGATCCCAACATCTTTTCATTAAATTAGCATAAATTTCAGGAGTATCTTCTGTAATTTTGGGTCTTTTTCCATCAATAATTTCATAAATAAGTTTATGATCATGTTCAATATTAGCAAATGGTTTACAACCAGTCGTAAGTTCCCACATAATCATGCCTATACTATAAATATCAGTTTCTTTTGAAAATGAAGCACCATTAAATATTTCTGGTGCAATTTCATTCTTATAATGAATATATTTCTTACGATATTCAACTAACTTTCCACATGATGTACAATCCTGATTATCTAAAAATAATTTGTATATTTTGTTTATATCTGCCATAAAATATAAATGACGATAACTATATACTTGTTTGAAATATAAAATGTCACTGCAAGTTTCACACCATTCATGAATGGTTCGTGTGCAAATTTCTGTATTCCTAGCTTCATGTTTATTACAATTATCATTATTTATAACTATTAGCACATTCAAATATGTGTTGTTATCAGTTAGAGAACTAATATAACTAGATATGTAATTTTTACAATATATTTGTTCAAATAAAAGAGTTCTCGAGTATTTTTCCACAATGACATTTATCATCATTATAATGAATGTGATTGGGACAGGGCTGGATTTTAATTTATGAGTAGAATTAGTAGAAACTTCATTATTTATAATAGTATGTCCATATTCATAAATCTTGAAAATTTTATGACCTTGGAACTTGAAAAATTCACGATATTTATAGTCATTTAATGTTACATTATTATGGAAGGATATTTCCGACTCAATACACAGAAATTCTTATGAAGTCTTAATCGAATATTCCAATTTAAATTTTTAGAATTCTTTATTTTTTTATTTAATTACTCCTGTTTCAAAAAAATTATTTATGCGTTTTATCAAAGGACAATTAGTTTGTGCTTAAAAAATAACAAAAAGATTGTGGGTTCCAAAACAGTAATTAATTGATGATCAAAAAAAATAGTTACGACACAATAAACGTTCTTAGCCCCTAAAAAATTGCACTAAAAATATATATTGAGTAAGGCGAGCGATTCTATAACTTTAATAATCATAAATATTGGAGTTTTTGCTTACTTTGACGTCGATCACTTCTAAAATCTAATTTTCGATTTTTTTGATTGATGTTACACACAGTTTAATCTTGCTTTATTAATCCAAAGAAAGTTCATTTAATATAATATAAATCAAAAATCTCACTTTTGTTGAAAGGTCCTGAACTCATTTATAACAGTAAAGCTTACGTGTTCTCACGTGATATGAATTTGTATAATAAAATAAATCAACCTTTGTTTTCCTACATTTTCTTTATTTTATTTTAAAACAATTTTATGGAACATATGCAACATATGCTTTATGCCAAGTAATTATTTCCATAAATGTTTGAAAAAAGCCATATATGTAGTATTTAATTAAGTTAGTTATTTTTTGTAGAAAAAATTCTTAACGTTAATATTGTTATAAAAAGATTAATTACGTAAAGATTGCATTTTAAGGTTAATTAGCTTGTGAATACGAACTTCCGTCAAAAATAGCCTAATCAAAAGGGAACTTAATATAAAATAATTTTTTTAAAAGGTATTCCTTTCTAGGTGGACGACGAGGACAAAATTTTTTTTGATTTCTTTAGTTAAAATTCTATAACCACTAAAAATCTATTTATAGAAATATTTATATTTAGTAATAAAAGAATGTATGAAATTTACGATCATAATAAATAAAGAATAATCATATATTTTAAAATGATCAACAAATAGAATTTAAACTTCGAAACGTCCATACATGTAAGGAAAATTGTTAGTTTATAAAAAAACTGTACGTTCCATACATAGAAAACCTCCCATACAGGTATATGTAACACCCTCAAAAAAGCTGTTTAAAATAAATATGATAATAAAAAATACTATCCTTTAAATTACATATAGAAGTTTGTTATTCAAAGCACCATGGTCATTCAATACTGTTTGGACGGCATATTTCAAATTTCAAAAATGTATATCGAAAAGAGTCTACGATTGGCGAGAATTTCGGCAAGCAAACAAAATTTTAGAGATACTATTTATTGATCAGTCAGTCATGTGCATGAGTTCGGTTATGATTATATAGCAAGTTAAGGGACCTTTTTATTTACTTCTTAGAAATAAAAATATGGTGACCTTTAATCTGTCGTATTCATTTTAATTATTGACCGCTGTTAACATTCAGATGCTGTTAACTCCTATGTGCGGAAGGTAAATTATATTAAATGTTATTTATTTAAAATTTACGATGTTAGTGTTACCTCCTATTTTCGTAAGGAAAAAAAATTTATTAAAATCGATTGCAGTGTAACACAAATGGGCGTGGTTCGATCAAATTTAAAATAAATATGAAATAAATTTATAAAGTATGAAAGAAATAAGTTTATTAAATGAATAATAAGAAAATACAATAAAAACAACTATTTTCTGTTTCAACCGGCGTTCTGTAATAGACTTTAGAGATTGTTCTTAATTCTATCCTTTCGAAAACTAAGAGCAAAATGAAGCACTTTTATAACTAAAATTTTCTTCTCATGGCTTTGCTACGTATCACCTTAAAACTATCAATATAATTTAATCAATGATGTCAAACTTGACAGGTTAGAAATATATATTCCATATGTTCATTGGGTTAGAATAGTCAGAAAAATTCGAAGTTTCAATTCCAAACTCCGCCAGAAATGATCGTTAATGTCGCAATGATTAATTGTGGCTCATTCAATTATGTTTGTTTATAACAAATCTTCCCTTTCAAAAATTTTTCACGGCATTTCCTATTAATTGATTGTGGAAAGATTGTCATAAAACCCGAGTCCAACGAATTAATACGGCGCAGTCAAAGTTGGTATTTAAAAAATTAATGGAACAAGTTCTTTCAGATTAAACTTTTTATTTACAAATTGAATGGTTTAGTGAAATAAGTAATGATTAATTACCTTCAGAAAAGTTTTGAGTAATGCAATATAAATGATGAAAGATCAGATCGTTCTTGACACAAAAATTACGTTTTTAAAAATTCAACATTTGTTTTCTTATTATTTGAAATAGTATTGATATTAATCTTTGGGAGCTTATTTATTTCAACAATTATGTCAGTTCGCATAAAACTCTTTACAGATTGTTATTATTATTTAGAAAAGAATATCTAAATTTCTATTTGTTTCTACTATTGAAGTATTCTTTATCATAAAAAAAATAATAATAATAACAAATGAGAAAATTACTATTACGAATTAATTAAATGATGACAAATTTAAAGGGAATGATCAAGACGAAGTGTGTTGCTACGTCTAAAGTTTCTCTTTTTGTTGTTGCCATTGACCGAGGTGCTTATTAAATTACTTTTCTTTAAAGAGTAGGGTTCTACGGCGGGTTGATTAGAATCTTTTCGGTTTGAACCTGCTACAAAAACACTTTGAGTAAATGAAAGAACAACATCAAAATATTGGTCATTGAGAAATGTGTTTTGTATTTCTAAACACCACAATGCAGTAGTAGTAATTCTAAATTCTTTCACGCAAATTGTTACTGGGGCTTGTCTACAAGAAGCTTCCAAAACTTCATTTAGTGCATCTTTAAC